ATTCAGATTTTGATAGTTCTCTAAGCATAAATATATGTATTAGAAACTTCTAAGAACTATTAAAAATGAATTTATACTTAACATTAAATATTATTAAAAATAATGTATTAAAAAATTGAGTATAGTTAGACAATTAAAGTATTTAAATTTGATCTATATTAATATTGTATACATTATAAAAAATACCAATAAGTGTTAACTATAATACATTTTAATAAAAGTAATAATTACAAAAACAATACAATTAATATAAAAAAAWATCTTGCAAAAATATCATCTTACTCAATTAATACAAGTGAATTAATATTTGCTATATTCACTATAACGAGGAGGTGTATTCCAAACAGCACTCGATGTACGTTGTTTATCACGGATATTCCAGCCTTTGAACATTTCTTTAAGACTCATACTTTTTGGACAGTCAAAGAATAAGTCCCTTTCTTTAGAATCAACATAATATTGAAGTTCAAGTACAGCTTTTCTATTTTCTCCTAAAGATAATTTTTTAATTCATATTTTTATAATAATTAGTTTATTCAGCTATATTAGTTATACTTAGTTGATGATAGATATACATACGTTTTGCCCAGTTTGGAACAGGTTTTTTGGGTCCAGATTCATCTTCAGAAGAATCACGAGCGGATACGTCATTCAAACCATAATCATTTTTGTTATCAATCTTTAATAAACAATTTAATAAATTACAAGACTCAATAATTAAAATTTAGGTATGAATAAACATACCTAGAATTAATTAGAATAACTCAACAATACCATGCGTGTATCAACTCAACAAAACACTAATTTTTTTCAAGTTGAAATGATTAAAAGAAAAAAAGAAAAATTTGGACAAATGGAATACAACCATGAGGCACTGCTTAAATATTAAACATCAACTGCATACAAAGATTCCAATCTAAAGCTCAACATATAATTTTGAAAGCACCATTTTATGTCTCRAATCACAATCTTCATACTGATCTTAAATTATTGTATGTCTCTGAGCTAGTCAAAACTTACTACAAACTTTTTATCAAAAGGTCTCTTAGATCACCATAAAAATTCCTTAATTTCCAATCTATCATCTGTCCCAAGTAACCCAATTAAAAGACTTAAAAGACATTGATGTTGTGATCCCCAAGCCTAACTAGCTTAATTTTATCATGTTCTAGTACMTCCACAGTCTGTCTAATCTATCATTTTATCGTATGATTATTCCATACATTTTTTAATCATTCTATTTTGTAACAAATTGAATAATAGTAAAAAAAAAAAACACTAAATACATAAAATATTTATTATGCAATAATATATGAACAATATACCTAATATGATTAACTAATCTATAAAATTAAATATTATGAGTAATACGTAACAATGTATGAAGAGATTAGGTAAGGTTAGGAGATTTAACATACATTTTTTTATTCTCAATTTGAGGAATTAAAAACGCATGTATACATTTGATTTATTCAATTTTAGAAAAGAAACCATCTTACTTTTGACTTTGGTAATGTTGCTGATGAAGTAGATATATTTGAAGGTAATGCTTTAGGATAAAGTGCCGATTTACTTTTTTCTGGTCTGTAAATAATTTAATACGTAAATAAACAAATTGTGTGCTTATTTAGCATTTATAGATAAACTAAGTACAATTATTT